TTTCAAAGTCGTATGCCTCAGCATGCTTCGTTCTCTTAAAGTTTTTGCAGTTTAGGCCATCAGGCAGCATAACATGGACCAGGGTATTATCTTTTGTCGGACCAAACTCGACTGTGATAACATAGAAAGGTTCCTGAACAGCTATGCGTCAGGTGAGCTTAATTTTTTAGGATTTTTTAACTCACTGTGAAGAGGAAATTAACAAGTTTTGAATTAATGCTAACATTCCTCGATTTTAATGAAGTGTTATCTGCAAAAGCGTTTTCTTTCTAACTAGCATGGTGCGTATAATAAAACGATTTCTCCGTTTCTAGATCTGACCTGTACCTGCCTTCACAGTGATAGAAAACCAGACGAAAGGACGAGGAACTTTGCTGCTTTTAAGGTTCAGGCTTTTTATTTTCCTTTCGTCTGCTTTTGCTGTGAATTTGCCGTTTTCGCCTAGTGCCTATTTGTTGGACTTTTTAAATTCGTTTCGGTAATAGGCCTTGTGTTTTGAGATCTTAGCGAAGTATAGGTGTTGTAGCATTCATTTACTTTTAGCAAGGGAAAGCAAAATTTCTAATCTGTACTGATGTTGCTGCACGAGGTATCGATGTGCGGGGAGTGCCTTTTGGTTTGCTATATTTGTTTTCTTTAATATCCTCAGTCCTTTCTCAATTTTTACCTTTTCACGCTTTAGAAGCTTTTAATCTTTGTCACAGTACTGTTTTCAGTTATTAACGTCACGCTTCCTGATGAAAAAGCTAACTATTTGCATCGTATTGGTAGGGTCGGACGTGCTGAAAGGTAAAGAAATTTTTCAATCTAAGGGAAAGACTTTTTAACTACTTTTGCTTTAGGATGGGATTAGCAATTTCTCTCGTATCTGCGCACCCCGAAAAGGTATGGTATCACACATGCCCATCGCGTGGACTAAGATGTAACAACACAAACTTGACTTCGCAGCGGGGATGCGCTATTTGGTACGATGAGATGAAAGTGAGCTAACCATGTGTCATTTAAATCAGCAGATATTGAATGCCACGTTTCGCTCCATTTCTTTGAAGACTAACCGATTTCGTGCGTTGTCTTTTTCCTGAGAATTGCTTCTTTCTGAATTAACTTGTGATTTCAGTTACTGGAAGACATTGAAGAGCACCTAGGTGTTACGATAGCGCAGATCGATAATGACATGATCGTTCCAGTGGATGAATTTGATGGCAAAGTGGTTTACGGTGCCAAAAGGCAAAATACTGGTTTGTTTAAACTTCTTTCAACCAATTCTCTTGCGCCTTACGTTTCTGAGAAATATTTATCAATTAAGTTGATATGATTATTCTGGATACTATTTAGGCAGCGGTTATGCTGGTCATGCAGTTCAATTGTCGGGAGCTGTTGCTTTGCTGGCCGATCTGGAACGTTCTCTGCAGCTTTCTTATTTACGGATGTTTAACGACCCGAAGACTGAAAATGTTAAATAAATAAATTTGTCGACGCTCCCTACTTACTGCTGGGAGGCGTAGTTTTGCTGCTCGAGCTGTTTTTTGGTCAAGTTTCTTTTCCGCGTATAATCATTCAGTGATCCCTTGTGCTTTGGTTGCAGGAATTTCGCTACTTTTAAAGATAACTTTTGTTTGATTTTTTCAAAATAAGTTATTACAAAGGGAGTGCAACGACATCCCTGTTTTACGGGAAGCAATGAATGGATTAATACAAAAAGTGGCTGTTTGAAAATTTTAAGTTACGACAATGTTGACAGATTTGTCGATCGGCCTGCACCATGTCGTTTCATTAACGAAATATAATATTGATCCCTTGCTTTATCCTTTTCCCACAAGCTTAACCAAATTTAGCAACTGCATCAAGAAGAGATGGAACGAGGACTTCAAGAAATGGTTTGTAGATTAGCCAAGTAACTGATAGAGAAAAGTGACTTTGAGGTGAGAAAGTGATTCGAAAAAGTTAGTGCTGAGGCGGTGTCATAATATTTGCTGATGAGGTGACATTGAAAGCAGAGGTAAATTAATCTGAATCAGAAATGTGTACGAATGTCCACTACCTACAGCATGAAATGCTGTTGTCTTTTCCACTATCTCAAAGGAAGAGGTAGTGCTGCACCAGATTGGACAAAGAGCAAATTACACTTGGCTGCCCTCAGGGGCTGGTTGAAGCATTCAGTAGAAGCTGAGAGGGTTGCAACTACTGAGGGAACATGTGGGGTCCCGAGCTTGGAAATTTTGGAGTAGCAAGATATGGACCGCAGTTTTATACTTGTTCTGTTGAGGGGAGTAGACTACTGTCGTCGGTCTGGAATGCCATGCGAACTGATTAGGTAGTTACAGAGTGGAAGAATGCAACTGCCGCAGGAACACAAAAATGTACTCGAGTACTGCGCATAAGGTTTTTTATGGAAACTGGATACGGGAGGAGGTTCATGAAAGTTCGTCGAGTGTAACTTGGTTGTTAAAAAAATCTTATGGTTTCTCACTTTCATTGTGCAATCCGGTTAGCAATCAGTGGTTATTGAAATTTTTTTGCTAAATTTGCTATACAACTGAGTGTTAGAGTATATGGTCCTTGATGTAGAAGAAAGACACTTTCTAGCACTCCTATCTTTCCATTTAAACCTCCTGTAGTAATTTCTTGGTCCGCTCATGGAACTCTGTCGACAACCGTTTCATTAACTGAAGTTAGGAAGCCTGAAGTGAGAACAGCAGATTTAATGCTAGCAAGGCAACAAGAAGACATAATTATGAGGCAGTAACAAGACAAGAATTAGATCATAAGTAATCATTAGTGGAAGTCTTTTATTCCTAGAAAATTTTTCATTTCCTTAGATCTGTTGTGAACTTGGAAACTTCTGGTCCCACAGGCTCACTGATTTGTGAGGAAAGACTGGGAGAATTAAACTGAAAGCGTTATAAAAACTGCATCTGTATTTTTAAATACTGGAAGAGAAAATTAAAAAATTAAAAAGGAACTTGCCGTATAAAAATTAAAAAGCTAACAGCAGCCATTCACCAACTTTCTGTGCTACTATGAGGGGTGCTCTTGTCATTTTGGAAAGAATCCAAGTTGGCTTAAATTGCTACCACTCATATGTACGCAGAAAATATACCGCTTTTATAAACATGTTGTACTCTTAAAGTGTTAAAAAATTCAACTTCTTGGTTACTGTGTGCTGAATGTCCTATGGCCGCTTCTACTTGAAGTGGGAGAAATGTGTTTTCTAGTAATTATGAGGCGAAAACGGCACTTTTCTTTTTTGCCTGTCGTTAAAAACCTGGTTTCGTTCTGATCCTTTTTTTAGAACTGTTATTGAGATTAGCATATTACAGAGTTTGATCTCAAGAACCATAAATTTCAGCAATTTCATTGTTTAGACGAATAGAATAACTGCCATTTCATGGGTATATATGGTAGCCATCTCTGTTTTTTTAATTTATTTGTTGTTCAAGTCATATTGTGGACATTGTTGCTTCATGATGATCTTTTATGAATCTTTACCTATGAGGATGTAAACGAAAACGGTGCTGAAAGTTTTTGGGTGCACTGTTTTCTTTAATTTGGATGGCGATTCTTCACAATCTATGAATTTTTTTGCCTTTATTATTAAAACTGTACTGCACTGTTTTATTTAAAAACATATGAATGGTTAGTGATGTATGATCAATCATATTTCATTTCTTGTCTTTTTAGTATAATGCTAATGTATCGCCAGTTCAATTTTTTGTAATCAGTACGAATAATAGGTACAATTTTTATTTGTTTCAAATGATGCTTGCATTTTGCGCTACTCTGTGTTGTGTTGATGGTGTTTGTATGACTTGTTAGTTTTTCAATTGATCTTACCGTAGGTCTTCAGCTCTGACTACTTATTTGCTTTCTTTTAAAGACCACAATGGTGTACAAACTTATGGTGGAAATAGGGCGCATTGTCTTTATTGGCAAAGGGAAGGATGAAGGTAAACTAGCAGCCATAGTGGACGTTATTGATGGCAATAGGGTTAGTTTTTGAAGTTTGTATTGTTTATCGAAGTTTTCTTACCAGGTCATTCGATGTGAGTTATTTGTACTGTTAGAAACGAAGTAACGGAACACGGCGCAAATTAACTTTGTTTTTATTGTTCATAATTTTTTAGACTTTGTTTACATGTGAAATTTTTTATATCTTTTAAAATTTTGGGAGCAGCTTTATAGATGGACTTGTTTTTCTGGTAAAGTTTCTTTTGGGGATTCTCGAAGTATCATACTTAGGCGCTGATCGATGGGCCAGCATCCGGTGTTGTACGGTGTGTAAGGAATTTTAAAGATCTACAGCTAACGAAATTTAAAATTCCATTGAGGCACGGTATGCGCACAAGGAATGTGTTAAAGTCTTACAATGATGAAAAAATCAACGAAAAATGGGCTGAAACCCAGTGGGCAAAGAAAAGAGCTTGCAGAGCGCTTGTACGAATTACACTTTTTTTTCGTTTATTCTCTTCTTAGATTTTTTTTGGGCATGTGAATTCGCATTCCTCTTCAGCATGAAAGTGTTGAAAAATCAACTTTATTTTTTATCCATCTGTTCTTTCTAAGAAAATTTTTTTATTCCCGTTTCTTCAGTAACTTTTTTATTTTATTTTTTTTGTTCTTATTCTTCAGTTTATAATTTTATAGAAAGAGAAGATGACGGATTACGATCGGTTCAAGCTCATGAGAGCAAAGCAGTTACGCAACAGGATAATGAGGATTGAATTGGCCAAGTTAAAGAAGGTTGCTGCTGGAAAAGTAACTAAACCTAAAGATAAAAAGAAATGAAGTCTATTGGTATAAACTTGTTTTTGTTATGGTTTTGGCCGGTTGTTTAAAAATAAAGTGTTGAAGTAATTTTTTTCAGACATTTTTTGCATTTAAGTGACATTTAATATATGTTGTACAGTTTTTTTTATTGCGTTTGACTTACCACGACTTTTCTTGAAATTCAGCAGTTTGTATGTCGTTTTTTAACAGTAAGGAAAGTTAGTTTTTTTACTTTATTATTGAAAATGCAAGGTAGCTTACTTCATTTTTTGTTGCATCTTTGGGATGGCAGTCGTATTAGGAAAAACAGCCACAGTTTCTAAAATTCTTCGTCTTGTGTTCCTTCGACTAAATTGTTGCAGTCCTTAAAACAAATAAAAAATACATAATCAATTATCTTATGTGCGAAAGGTATCCTCGTTTCTGTCAAGAACTTTTTTAAAAACAAGTGACTAGTTTGCGAAATATTTTACTTCATTTTTCGTTGCTTCGGATATAGCAGCGTTTGATTTTGTGTATGTGGCCCTAATGAGGGCCGTTGGGTTAGGAATCCGTAATTCAGCTGGATGATGGTTTTGCTTATCTACGTTCTCCTCGTACTCGGCGAGCTAAATTCATATCTTTCGGCATAATTGTAACACGTTTTGCGTGAATGGCACAGAGATTAGTGTCTTCAAAGAGTTCAACTAAGTATGCCTCGGAGGCTTCTTGTAGTGCTGCTATAGCTGCAGACTGAAAATGCAAGTCGGTTTTATAGTCTTGGGCGATTTCACGAACTAAACGTTGAAAAGGTAACTTTCGTATGAGCAATTCTGTGGATTTTTGGTACTTACGGATTTCTCGTAGGGCGACGGTACCTGGTCGATAACGACGTGGCTTTTTAACTCCACCGACGAGTGGTGCAGTCTTTCGTGCAGCCTTAACATTCAATTCTTTTCTTGGGACTTTTCCACCTTGGTGAGGGTTGTTACGTTTTGTGCGGGCCATTTTACTCACAATGGCTTGGGATTTCAAAAATGATTTAAATAGTGCTCCGGAGCCAATAGGAGCATGGGGGTGCAAATGAATGGCGGTGAGTTTGGATGCTGATGCTTAGTGGCTATTACTGAACCGGTTTGGTGTTGTTTGGGGAATTTTTTGTGTGTTTTATTTAACGTAAGGCAACGCCAAATCCGGTTGAAATATTTCTGGAGACTAATTAGTTTTGCTGTGTTTGTGCATTCCAGATAACATATATTGTTTTATTTCCGGAATGCAGTACTTGACGTCAGAAGTTATCTGGGGAAATTCTTTTGTTGAGTCTGAACCAGTCTTATGTGCGAAGGCAGCTTGTAATCTGTGGCTGTAAAATTGTCGTTCGGAATTAAATCTGTTTATAGTGATTTTTAAGGGCGCTATTAAATGGGTTTGGGGAAGAAGTAGCGGGTATTTCATGCCGGAAACTTATTGTTAGAACATCGAAAGTTGGCAGTGTTGCTTCCGTCATTATCGTGCTACATTTTTTTTCTGTAGTATGAATTAAAAGTTCAAAATTGCAGCTAACTTACAAGGTAGTCTCGGAGACTATGAAGGATGAGCAGTGAGCAGTGTTAACTTCAAACAGCTAATTCGAGAAAAAAAAGCAAATTAACTTTTGCTTGTCGCAGTTTATCTGAAAATGCTGGACAGTTGTTGGTCGAGAATTTCTAGGCGAAATGGTTCTGTAATAACTTGTGTAAATGAATTTAATATCTGATTTAGAGCTATCTGGGATTTGCCGCTTTTTGTTAAGTTTTAATCTGCAATCGCCTTCGAAAAGGTGACTTGAGTAAATAAAAGAAGTGGTTAGGGGAAACATCGGCCAACGGAAGTCACCTCGTATTCTTTATCTCTTATTTCTAAATTCTGTTTAAGAATCCCATTTTTTTTTTAAATTTGTCAAGAACGTTGGCGATCATTGGTTTTATGCTATCAGTCATGTAAAGTCTATAGTGATGTGAATTCTTGAAGAATTATTCAACAGAAGCTTATCGGAAAAATTTAGTGGCATTTTAAAGAAATCGGTGGGATCAAAAATTGTAAAAATTGTTCGGTTTAATTGTCAAGCGATTTAATGGTAATTCACAGAAGAGCAGTGGTCAACTCTAAATAAAGCAAAAAAGTTTACTGTAGACATTTACTGACAACTCATAAAAGGATAAAAAGAGACTTTGATACTTGTCATATGCAATTTAGGATATTCTGACACACGCAACTATTCTCATAGCCTTGAAATTTGCCAGTCACAACGTCTTAATGCATACAAATAGCTACTGGATTACGAAGAAGTTGATTATCAGGGTATAATGTATAAAACTGCGGAAGTCTTGCCGTTGTTTTGTTTTTTTCTTAGATCTACGAGTTTTTTGTTAAGTTGCGTGAAAAGTTGAAGAGTTTAGGAAGAATAAAGAATGAAGAGAAACAAAGGATCAAGGATTGAAATTCTGACTTATTTTGAAGTACTGGTAAAAGTATTTAGCAGTGAGATCTGCTACTGGCCTAAACAAATAGTTTTTTTTATTAGAGGCGTATATATTCTAATCTGATGCAATCTGATATCTAATCTGATATCTCAATTTTGCACAGAAGAAAGTTCAATATGTTCCAGGATTTTCGTGGATGATTGCAACTTGATAATGAAATGAGTGCAGGATCGAGCGGTACGGGATGTACTACAGGTGTTGCTGTCAAAATGAAGATTTTTGCTAAAATTTTCTGGTAATTGCTCTGTTCTTTCAATGTATATTCCTTTCAAGTAAATTGCTTATACTTTATGAAAAGTGTGGAGGAAATACACATATTTTTGCAAAAAAAAAAAAAAAAAAA